AATAAATTAAATAATAATAATTCTAATAAAATTATCTAAATGAATAAAAGAATAAAATTCTGCACCTGATGTCATGACGGGAGCCATTAGTCGTTGTGTGTGATCTACCTTAATACTGTCAGCAAACTCCTCCAGCGCTTTAGCTCCGATGGTCTCCATAGAGGTGATGAGAGCTGGGAGCTTGTTCTTGGTGCTGGCAGCCGTTCCCTGCACCGCAACACAGGATATGACATCATCAGCTACCACACCGTGCCAAAAAGCAGAAAGTCCAGTGCGAACATTTCATTCTCGTTCTCATTTCCTCTCTACCTGTAGCGTGGCATCAAAGTCTGGTTTGGTCTGCTTGAGGTGGCGCAGGATGGGGAAGATGGTCAGCACAGCGGAGTAATCGTGTCTCATGATGGCTCGACGCGCCGCGGAGATGATGTTATCGCCCTCCAGCATCAGATTATCCAGCGCTTCCTGCAGCGACAAACACTGTGATTAAACACACACACACAAAGACTCAAGAAAAACAACATTCAAATATGATCAGTGTGGACCAAGAGTGATATATTAATAACATCTTAAACGTAATGTGATTAAAGCACACAAGAAGGACACCAAACAGAATTAAAATCTGCTTAATATTCGAAAAGACTCATTATTTTTACAATTCTGTTTGGTGCCGCCAGTGATGCAGTAAATAAACACTGCAGCTTTAGATATATCTGATCAATATGAGACCAAAGAGCTCTGAATGAGAAACAAAATGTTCAGTAGCACTTGAAATAAATATGATTTCTGAAATAATGTTGCATGATACTGCAGGAAACCGTGCTAAATGATCATTAACAATGAATGAAAAACAGAACAATCCTGCGGATGTTTCTTCATATCTAATCTTCATATCTAATCACCCCAAAGTGCATCAGTTGATGCATATCAATAACACATATCAGTAGATTGTAGGATGTCCACTTTAATTTTTAAGGTCTGATTCAATGTTGAATGAACTGACAGAAAAACGGACTCAAACTGAAATTAATATTTTTATATAATTAATAATATTATAATTATGAATTAAATTTATTGTAATTATTATTATTATTATTATTAATAACACTACTACTACTAGTACTACTAATAAAGTTTTAAGATAAAACACAATCATATATTAATATTAATTAATAAAATAAAATGATATAAATTAAGAAATAATAGAATTCATCATTTTAATTTAAAAATAATACAATTAAATGTAAAATGTCCCCTTGAATTTTTAAGGTCTGATTCTCTCACTCTTTGAACTGAACTCAATATCGTTGTTAAAAATGCATGATTGATAACCTGTCTTAAAGGATGATTTAGCATCTTTGACATGCTGTCGATTATGACGGATAATGACTTCAACTCCCTCAGTTTGTAAAAACACTCAAAACTTGTTTACAGATGATCTTTAGCTGGACCGCTGCAACGTTAAACGTTAAAATTCACATGAATTTAAACATACAACAACAAGATTTACACAAAATGTGTGTTCACTTGAGACTAATGTAATAAAATCACATCATTTGAGTCAGAATAAATTTCGTAGCTTGTTTTGAACTCAAAACTTGTCTTTAATCCTGTTTGTTGTTGTGATCTCTGAGGTCAGACTCACCTGCAGCCGCCCCATGCTTGTCGTCAGACAGGTGCTTAACCCCACGCAGGTCATGTTCGAAACCTGATTGGTTAGGATAAAGTCACATGACCCGGGTCACTCTCCCCGGGCTACAGAGGGAGTGCTGAACAAGCTCAACCGCCCACAAAGCAAAGGAAACACTCACGCGGCACGACCACTTGTGCTGGATGTTAGTGGGGTTTCTAAGTGCACCGATGGACCCAGCAAAGCACAGAGACTTATGGGAAACACTGATGTCACAACAGTTTGTCCTCAGTTTGAGAGAGAAATCAATGACCACAACCTTCCTGCTGCCACGCTCAACTCAAAAACAGAACGCAGTTGGACTTTAAATTTGGAAAAATCTGATTTCACTGAGATGCAGACGTATGATGCAGAGTCAATTTTAGCAATATTTATATACTGTTATTTATATGCTATTTCTATAGTTTCAGTGTTATTTACATTTTTTGTAATATTTATATACTATTTTTATAGTTTCAGTGTTATTTAAATTTGAGTAATATTTATATACTGTTATTTATATGCTATTTTTATAGTTTCAGTGTTATTTAAATTTGAGTAATATTTATATACTGTTATTTATATGCTATTTTTATAGTTTCAGTGTTATTTTAATTTTAGTAATATTTATATACTGTTATATAGGGCTGCACGATAAATCGCATGCGATATTTAACGCGCATCTTGTCAGAAAGCCGGTTCTGTAATCAGCGGTAAATCTCCATCACCTGCGGGCTTTCACATTGAGCAGCATTAACTACACAGAGCCGTTGTTCACTGACGAGCTGCGCAAAAAATCGCGCGAATATGAACGTGGTTTTGCGCAGCTTGTCAGTGAACAACGGCCCTGTGTAGTTAATGCTGCTCAATGTGAAAGCCCGCAGGAGTGTTATTTTAACTTTTAGTAATATTTATATACTATTTTTATAATTACAGTTTTCGTTTTAATTTCAGTTTGATTTAGTAATTTAGTTTTTTTCCCATTTTTATTAGTTTTTATTTTGTTTGTTTTTTTTCATTTAGATTTGATTTATATTTATTTCAATTTTAGTTTTAGTCATTTTAGCACTTCAAACTCATTTTATTTCAGTTAGTTGCCAAAGCAACATTTCTCATATTCAATTAAGCTTTTTGAGTTTAAGTTTTTCAATAATATTTGTTTTATTTGAGCTTTATTTCACATGATAAAAATAATTTTTAATAGTTTTAGTTAACAATAACAATACTGATAGTATGATGTCACGTATACACAGCGATGCTCAGAACACATTTAATAATCACTTTTTTTAAGCAAAATAAAATGCATCAATAAATCTAATACGTCAAATTTCCTGCATTAAATGAGTCAAAAACCTGTTTAGCAAACGCTGCTTTTGCAACACATTTGACATGTTCTGTAAAATATTTAGCTAAATGCAGCTGTTCATTCCCATGTTTTCAACTCACTTAAACTGTAAATTAAAGTGTCTTTAAGTTTCACAGTGTCACTTTAATTCAAATCTTCAGTTTTTTTAATTTAAAAATGTAATAAAAACAATTATTAATACTGTTAATTACACAATTAATATTTATTATTTAATTTAATATAAAAAAATTGAATTATTAATATATAATTTTAAAAATAATTTTAATTTGACTAAATATATATTTTATAAATGAGACGAACAGTGGCTCTCTCCATTTTGAGGCTGGTTTGACCTCAGCGAGGACGACACTGCTGTGGCCCATAAGTTTCTGTGTTATCCGACTGTTGTTTTCCGAAACGCAGGAACAACAGTTCAAAAACAGAGAGAGAAAACAGAGACAGAGCTTGAGAGGAGGAAGGAAACCAGAAAGACAGCGTGCTTTACCTTCTAGAGGAGTGAGGTTAGAACCCTTTTTTCCATCCAGGCCATGCTGAGAGTATTGTTTGAGCAGATTCTGAGCCTTAGTGGGAGAGTCGCAGGGATCGCAGGAGGAAAACAGAGGAAGACACCATGAGGAAGAGGAAGAGGAAGGGCATCTGAAACCCTGTTCACCGAAACCAGAGCAATAACTGAGCGAAATCCAGATCCCTCCGAGACTACAGCCAACACCACAGCTATCACACACACACACACACACACACACACACACACACACACTCACTCACACACACACTCACACACACACACACACACACACACACACACTCACTCACACACACACTCACACACACACACACACACACACACACACACTCACTCACACACACACTCACACACACACACACACACACACACACACACTCACTCACACACACACTCACACACACACACACACACACACACACACACTCACTCACACACACACTCACACACACACACACACACACACACACACACTCACTCACACACACACTCACACACACACACACACACACACACACACACTCACTCACACACACACTCACACACACACACACACACACACACACACACTCACTCACACACACACTCACACACACACACACACACACACACACACACTCACTCACACACACACTCACACACACACACACACACACACACACACACTCACTCACACACACACTCACACACACACACACACACACACACACACACTCACTCACACACACACTCACACACACACACACACACACACACACACACTCACTCACACACACACTCACACACACACACACACACACACACACACACTCACTCACACACACACTCACACACACACACACACACACACACACACACTCACACACACACACACACACACACACACACACAGACAGACACAGACACAGACACAGACACAGACACACACACACACACACGCGCGCGAGGCACAAATATCACATAACATCACAATGTCTACAGCTAAACAGACTGAAGAACACGTCACACACACACTGAGGAGAAAATACAACCAGTTAATCCAACAACAGCATTGTGTCACATACAGTGATGTTAATACAGTCATTAAGAGTAGTGCTGCTCAAACGATTTAACATCATAAACTCAAACATATCAGACAGTCAGTGTGCTGCTAAAACAAAAGGCATGTGTCTTAAAGGGGTCACAGCATCATTTTATATCATATTAGTTTTCCCTGAGATCCATTATAACTTTAAGAAAAGTTTTCTGGCATCATTTAGTTTGTCACGTGCATTTTTCCTTCTCTTTGACCCTGGAAATGGACCGGGTGGTTATTATAGACTCGTGTAAGACTTGTGGCCAAAAACTAAATAAGTGTTGATGTAAATGAGGACAGCCAAAAATTCATGAGCTCACAGCTGATGTCATAAATAATCATGAAGATTTCTGAACAAGGCTAGATTTAATGTGATTTATCATGATATGACCCCTTTATTAAGCAGTTAATATGCAGTAGATGTTTTCTTCAGCAATAATAAGCATCCAGTCAAACATGAGGAGAGACCGTATCGGTCTGTTAGTGGGGGCAGAACAGTCACAGCGCCCCGTGTGGTGAGGAGTGAGCATGCGGTCAGTGTTAGAGCATTAGTAGAAAACAAAGAGCCTCCTTTCTCACTGTTAAAAACACTCTGTACGCAATACAGTGCTGTTAGCCAACAAAATGTGCCATCCACACTGAGAAAATACAGGAACAGCGGTGTGCAAGTCTGTGCTAACGGCTCCAAACTGACACACAGCTCCAACAGACAGGAAGGAGAGCGTCTGCTATACGGCTTCAAACATTAGCGCAATGTACTAGTTATCCTGATTAATAACAGTTCATTGGTCTGGCTGATATATCAGCCATGTGTGTGTGTGTCTGGATGGATGCGTCCATTTGTGTGTGTATAAAGGTCTTTTCACATTCAAGAAACACAAAAAGAATAAATTTCAGTCTAAATGGTTCATAAAACACTACCATTCAAATGTCTGGGGTTCAGTAAGATCTTCTTTTTAAAGATATTAATACTTTTATTCAGCAAGGACGCATTAAATTGATCAAAGTGACAGTAAAGACATTTTTAATGTTACAAAAGATTCATATTTCTAATAAATGCTTTTCTTTTGAACTTTCTGTTCATCGGTGAATCCTGAAAAATGAAATGTATCACAGTTTCCACAAAAATATTGTGCAGCACAACTGTTTTCAACATTGATAATAATCAGAAATGTTTCTTGAGCAGCAAATCAGAATATTAGAATGATTTCTGAAGATCATGTGACACTGAAGACTGGAGTAATGATGCTGGAAATTCAGCTTTGATCACAGAAATAAATTACAGTTTAACAGATATTCACATAGAAAACAGCTGTTTTAAATTGTAATAATATTTCACAATTTTACTGTTTTTACTGTATTTTTGATCAAATAAATGCAGCCCTGATGAGCAGATAAGACTTTGTAATTATAATGTATATATATTTATAACTGTATTAAATAATTTAATTTAATAAAATAAATAAGTAATAATTAATGTATAATAAATAATTAATTCATAACTCAATTTAATTAATATAAAAAGTCATTTAGTTTTAAACGTTAATTTTAATTATTAAATTAAATTATTATATAAAATTATTAATTCATTTAAATTATTTACATAATTTTTAAAACATTTTTAAAAAATCTTCCCCCAAACTTTTGAACGGTTTGCCAAGGTGGTAATTTTTTTTAATCAAAATAAACATTTATCTCATGCTCTGTGTGAATAGTTTTATTTTGTATTTTGCCAGCAAATTTTACTTTGGTTTGCATGTGTATAAGCCTTTCATAACCTATTCTGTCATGTATATGTGCGTATATGTGTGTGTGTGTATATAATGGGATAATAACTGGCTCTGCAAACAGAAACAAGCGATGGACACGTCACAAACACAGCTGTGACTTTACCTGGGATGCAGACTGACATCATCAGACACCAGTGAGACAGAGAAGAGAAAAGGGGAGAGGAGACGGTTAGTAAGAACACACACTAGGAACGGGAAAAGAGGAGAACTTCGACAGGAAATGAGGTCGTGGAAGTCAGATACACCTGACTGTGATCCATCAGGACCATCAGAAACCCAAAGAGACCCAGTCTAGTGAGGTGAAGGGTTAAGGGTCACTGACCTGGTCTTTTGGGAGGCTTCTTGGTGGGCGTCTCCTTGCGTTTGGTCTGTATGGCGGGTGAGTGGATGGCAGAGGTGGCGCTGTTCTTACGGAAATGCTCCTTCAGACCCTTAATGGACCGATCCAGCTGACTGGACCGGACCTGGAAATACACGTTCATGAAGTCTGCAGAGAGACAAACACACACGACATGAGATTTCAAACACCCTCAGCGAGTAACAGTCGGGTTCTGGAAGTAAAACCCATTCATTTTCTCCATAGGGAGTTTTAATGATAACTGATAAACCATTAGAGACAGAGCTGTTGTGAGGTTGTTCATCGATGATGGATGCTTTTGTTAAAGCAATCTGTTCACATTAATTCAACTAATTTTTAAAATAATGTTTAATACTGTAACTTGTGGTGAAAAACTACATTACCCATGATACTGTACAGAAAATTCCACCAATCAGAGAGTTGCAGCGAGCAAAGTGAGCCAAAAGAGCTCCGCCCACTCCCATGAAAAAACTGCCAATGACATAATCAAGCTGATACTTGTATATATACATTTCTATATGTTATTTGAATCTGTATTAATATTTTTATAATAACAAAATGAAATCGTATAGTATGTTTTTACTGTATTTTTCATTTTGAGCCCATAAATGCAGCCTTGAGACTTTACAACAAATATATTTAATAATTTAATTAAAATATGAAATTTTAATATTTAATAATGAAAATAATTTTCAATTATGTCATTTGCAATGCTTCATGGGATTGTAGTTCTGATTTTCATATACGTTTTTGCTTCCAATAAATGTTTGTAATGTTGTGATTCACCTCGTAGCTGGCTAAAGCGGCTTAAAGCGCTTTAACAAAGACTTTTTAAAAATCTCTATGGGAAAAATGAATGGAAAAAAACACAGATGGAACCAACTGAAACAGTGGACGGCACGAGATTAAAAGCGTTTGCGTGTGTGCACCTTGGTTGCGTCCGTACTCCACCAGCCAGGCAGAGATGCAGATGATGTCCTGCATGACGGCTTCGGGCAGGTGCTCCAGCGTCACGTCCTCCTGCACCTCCATGTCCTCGTCTCCTCCGATGGTGTCCAGGATGAGGATGGGCGGCACCGGTTTGCTGTAGCGCATCAGCAGGCTGCGAAACTCCGCCTCCAGCAGCTCCTTCCCCTTCTCGAAGCGAGCTTTCTGCAACACGACAGCCTCGCTGAGGAGCTTCACACGGACGGAAGAAGCGTGAGAGGTTTGTGAGTGCGTGACATACGTACCACTGTGTTGAGCTCGGGACTGTCGGGATTGTTGTCCTGAAAATACTCCACGGCTTTCTGGATCTTTGCAATGCAGGCCAGATACTCGTCCAGACGACCTGCAGGCCTGCAAGAGCAGTGATTGACCAATGTCAGTCTATACATATACATATCTCTCTATCTCTGTCTATCTATCGATCTATCTCTCTATCTGTTATTTAAAACTCTAATATTCCACAATATTACTGTTTTTACTGTATTTTTGATCAAGTAAATGCAGCCTATATGAGTATAAGAGACTTTACAATAATTATACCTAATAATTTACTTAAAATATATATATTTTATTTAATGTAAATAAATTAAAATAATAAAACTATTTAATAAAAAATATATACACACACAAAATTAAGCTGTATTATATTATAAATATATATTTTATATACTGTCTATCTATCTATCTATCTATCTATCTATCTATTATACATTATTATACATTATAACTGTATTTTGTGCAATTAAGTTATACATTATTATACATTATAACTGTATTTTATATAAATTATACTATATTATAATTATAGTATATTATGCAGCCTTGGTGTGAAATAAAAAATAATTATATGTAATAATTTAATTAAAATCTTAAATAAATATGAAATGTATATTATTAAATGTAAATAACTTTAAATATTAAAACGATCAATTAATTAGAAATATCCTAAAAATAGCTGAAATATAAATAAAATATAAAAATATAAACATATTATATCTGTATTGAATAATAAACAGAAATGTACAGAGAGGGCTGTTGTTATATTTTGGAAATTAAAGATCACTTATACTAACTGCCTACAGTTCTGAGCCGATATATCGGTCTATCACTGAACACGAGTCTCAGGCGGCTCTCACCCTTCCCGGATGATCTTGTCGGTGTCTTTGGCCACGTGATAATAACTGATGACGTGATCCAAGCAGGAGAGAGTTTTGTCCACGTTCTCCTGCAGACGCTGCAGATTCTCCGTCTGCTTATGAACCGGGATGATGGAGTTCTCCAGCTGCATCAGACGGCTCTCGAACGAGGACAGGATGGACACCTTACAGGAAGACAACCACAAAATCATATTTACAGCAGATAATGACATGTGTTCAGCAAATATCACTGTACAAAGGCTGTTATTTCAGTTTGATTATCTTATATCTTAAAACCAGGATCACACACACACACACACACACACACATATATATATAGGCTATTCATATGAATATATACATATAAATGTGTGTGTATTTTAAAAGTGTATTAAATTAAAATATAAAGGTTTAATGATAAAATAAACAATATTATTAAATATAATTTAATAATAATGTTGTTACATTAAAATATATTATATTAAAAATGATACAAATATAAATATACATTTTATGCATATTGCAAAAATCTATTC